CTGGGCATTCAAAGGGGAGTGGAAGAGCTCACAGGGGGCACAGCTAAGTGATAGGAACACATCGTCCAGCTCATTTCTATAGATGCCATGTTAGAAGTTCAATAAAACATGCAGCATGGATTTTACACGCTCGTATCTGGAAGCTTTCGTTGATCTTTACATGTCCCAAATCAACTTTTTTTAAAAGCTGAGAGTTTTAAACACAGAGCCACCAAAAACCAAGCTTCCTGATACCTAGTTGCTTCTGACTCATGATCGTCATACATGGGGTCTCTGAGACAGTAAAGGATCCAGGTGGGTTGCCCCGAAGACAAGCAATAACCCTGCCTATCAGGAATTAGGAACTCTTGTGGTGCTGTCAGGTGAGCATTGAGCTGTTAACCGCAAGGTAAGTGGTTCAAGCCCACCACCTTCCCAGTGGAAAAAAAAAGCTGCTGCATGATCCCATAAAGACCGACAGCAGTGGGAAAGTGAAGGAACAGGTCTGTTGCATCCTGTAGAGCCATCGCCAGGCGGTGAGGAGACTTGATGGCAATGGGTTTGGTCAGGAGCTAAAGGAGAGGGAGGGAGCACAAGCAGTGTGTAAGCTGTCCACCCACCACCGTGCAGACAGACTGGAACCCACTCCAGCCCTGGGTGCTTTGTCTCGTTTTTCTGCACCTGAAACATTTAAAAACATTATCACCCACTCAAAGGTCCTAAATGGATATGCTTTATTAAAATCTAAACTTGAATAGAGTGTGCGTGAGGGGGCAGTTGCTGCTGACCTAAAGGTGGGAGTATAGCCAGCAGCATTTCAAAAGAAAGCCCTAATCACCTTCCAAAGAGCCAGCCGTGGATGAGCCCTGGGGCACGTTTCTCCTCCCACACCCATTCGTGCCCATTCAACGGCAACTGGTTTTCAGGCAGCTCTGTAAGAAATAAGTTGCCAGCTTTGGGCTTTTCATTGCTGCATCAAATACAACGAAAGCTGACTGAAATGGCATGCGAAGACAACAGATCCATTTCCAAAATGTGATCATCATGGCCCTTGTGTGATGAGTAATGCATTGCACACTCTTCTAGAGACACCCCACTCCCACCCCCGCCAAAGTTCAGTCATATCTTGTGGGTCTGACAACTGGTCATAGGGTAATTGGTTAGTGGCGGCTCTAGTCTTCCCCTCAGGTCTGTCAGTTTGTGACATAGTGGTGGCTTGCTTATTGCTATAATGTTTAAAAATCAGGAAAGATGTGCACTCAGGTTGTATCTTTTCACCATACTTTTTCAATATGTATGCTGAGCAAATAATCAAAAAAACTGGAGTATAGAAACACTGATGCAGAATTAGAGGAAGGCTTACTAACAATCTGGGCCATGCAGATGACCCAGACTTGCTTGCTCAATGGGAGGAGGATTTTTGAAGTCCTTGCTGATGAAGATTAAAGACTACAGACTTCTGTATGGATTACAATTCACGAAGAATGGAGAAAAGACTGAAGTCAAGTCTTCCATCTTGCTTGAGTCCTGTTGGCATAGTGGTTACACGTTGAGCTATCTGGAAAGGTAGTGGTTCAAAACCACAAGTAATGCCAAGGGAGAAAGATGAGGTTTTCTATTCCTATCAAGAGTGGCAGTCTCAGAAACCCAGAGGGGCGGGTCTACCGGGTCCTGCAGGGTTGCCGGGAGTCAGAGTGGACTCAAGGGCAGTGAGTTTGGTTTCTTTTGGGATCCACCATCAATGCGCATGGAAGCAGCAGTCGAGCTATCGGAGGACACACTGCATTGGGGAAATCTGCTACACATGACCTCTTTAAAGTGCTCAAGAGCAAGGGTGTCACTTTGAAGACTAAAGTGTACCTGACCCACGCCATGGTATTTTCAATTATCTCACATGCATATGAATGTTGGACATTGAATAACTGATCCATTTGAATTGTGGTGTGGGTGACTATTGAAAGTACCATGGACTGTCAAAAGAATGAATAAGTCACGCATAGAAGCAGTCTAGATAAAATGCTCCTTAGAAGCAACGATGCTAATACACTCTAAAGTGCCTTACATGTGCCCTTTATAAGATGGGTTGACCCAGTGACTGGAGCAATGGGCTGGGACACTGTTGCGAGAATCGTGCAGGACCAGACAGTGTCTCCGTCTGTTGTACATGGGGTCACCGAGGACAGAGCCAGCTCTGTGGCACCCAACAGCAGCGATTGCAATTGTCTAACCTGGTGTCGGTGAGTGAAGATTGTGAAACAAGCACTCATTTTTAAATTTAAGGCTTTCAACCATATTATAAAATCAAGAAACCCATAAATTTGCCACCACACATCAAGCTTAGTCTGAGTTACAATGGATGGATGGATGGATTGTGAGAAGCATTGTATGAGTCCCCAATAAAATGATTTTTTTTAAAAGTGAGTTACACACTTTGTAAATTATGGGTTTACCAATACTTCTGTGATCATTGCAAATGAATATCATAATTACTATTTAAATAATTTTATATAAAACTCCTTTAGAAATTATCTTATAAAAACACACAGGTTGGCAAGGATTGGGGGAGACTGAACGTCTTTATCTATTGCTGCTGGGGAAAGAAAATGCTATGACTACAATGTAACAATGACCTGGCCTTTGGCCAGGTAAAGAGACAATGTTTCAGAAGCCCCACTCCTAGGTCGACGCCCTAAGAGACCTAATGGCAGTGGCTTGGAGAGACATAGACACCAGTGTGCAGTGCAGCGTTATTCACAATGGTGGGAAAATACAGAAACAACCTAAGTGCCCATCAATGGAGAAGATAACAAACGTGATCTATTCACATGACGAAGTACCATACAGCTATAAAACACAGTGACACACCTGGTAAACATCTTTCAACATGGATGAACCCAGAGGGTATTGTGCTCCGTGAAATAAGTTAACCCAACGGACGAATACTGTGTGGTTCCACTTTTATAAAAAGGCAAAACCAAGTATATGCATTCACAGAAACCAACCTTACTTGCTGGGGACCAGCTCCCGGGGAGTGGAGAATCACACTCTGGATAATACACTCTGACTTCAGGTGGCCACAAAGGCACCACTGAATGCTTGCGAACTGAGCTCACCTTAAAGTAATGATGACACCAAGAACTAGACCGACATTACTGGTCGATGCTGTGACAGATTCAATGTAACAACCCAAACAATCTAGGTGAGTGGTTAGACCGACACATGCATGCATGCATGTTATAAAGTATTTATGTGAGCATACATACAACTATCTAAAGTCATATCTACATAGATGCTTATAAGTGATGCATATCTACTTATACATGTAATAACGCACATAGGAGCATGGCATCAACTCCCAGGCATAATCACACACCTCACAGCATTGGTTAGCTGCCCGTGAAGTCTGTGGACCACAGTCCTGTAGGAAAGCTCCATTTAATGGCAGAGCAAAGTCCACAGAGCTTGGGTTCTCATCTCTTCATTTGGTAAGCAACATTTGGGGTCTTAAAAGTATGTGAGCACAATCACTGGTCTGTACTCATCTGGAGCAAAAGAAAGAAGAAAACGGTCTACAGCACCAACTCTCTGGGGTCCTCAAACTTTTTCAACGGGGCCAGTTCACTGTCCCTCAGACCCATTGGAGGGCTGGACTATAGTTAAAAAAAACAACTATGAATAAATTCCTGTGCAGACGGCACATATCTTATTTTGAAGTGAAAAAAACGCAAGGGGGAAAAACACCTGGTGGGCCGGATAAATGTCCTCAATGGGCCACACGTGGCCCACGGGCTGTAGTTTGAGGACCCCTGATACACAAACCATAGCTCCACCCATTCGGAGACCAGAACTAGATGGTACGCAGCTGTAATTACAGATGCTTCTGACCAGGGCCAAAATGTATGGTCCTGGATAGAACGGGAGAAAATAAGATAGAATTGAACATTTTAAAGAAAATGGACAAGCATTACTAGATGCACAAAGACCTGAGGAGCCTCTCTGACAAACGCACTTTACATTTTGAACTGAGAGGAATCCTGGAGGCCACCTTTACCTGCAACCGCCAAATTGATTGGATCATGAAAACAGCAATTTTACACACACACACACACACACCCACCCCGCATCACATGGTTAAGTGCCAAAGACCAGTCGTTATGCACAGTCAGAGAACATGGTGGATGACCACATCAGATCACAAAACAAAAGACAGCAGCATCGTTACCTATCTGTCAAATTACTTCATTACATAATTGCCCACTCAGTCAAGGTAACCCATAATCATTGCAGTTTTACTTTCAAACCTCAGCTTTCCTTACTGCACAACAGTCAATATGTTACTGTTAGCATAAAGGAGCAATGCTGGATTAGGGTAGGGTTGATAAGGGAGGAACAGATGGAGGATGAGACTTCCAAAGCTTATGGGAAGTTGGAAGGAAAAAGTGGAGCTTTTCCACAAACCTCTGAAGTCTCCTCATATACATATATCATCTCTCTGAGATCAGTGGTCAGCATTTGCTACAACCCAAAGATAACAAGGTCTCTGGGGGCAGGAAAGCAGGGTCCCATAATGAGATGGGACAATCAGATCAGAAATGAAAATGTAACCAGATATGTGCAACAATTTTTAAGTAAAACCCCAATTTGCAGCATAAACTTCCAACAAGCAGTCAGGTGTAGTAAAAATAACTTCACACAAAGAAAGGACACATTGAATTTCCTAAGAATACAATCACATAAGGACACACCAAAAGAAAGTATTGCGATGCTTTGCCCCAAATGGTAAATTGAGATAATTATGAAACTAGTTTGGTGTCAGTGAAACAGAACAAAGTTATTGTGAACGAGGCCATTCTCATACCAACCATGAACCCAACCTGACTCAGGTTATCACCACAAATCTAAAGATATGGCCCCTCTGGTTATTTCTACCCCTTCAAACAAAGCCAGCGCAGCAATGGTCACAACCTTCCTTGTAAGAGGGCCTGTTCCCACTTCTCACACTCGATCGCCAGAGCACTCACCTTCCCGACTCAAATGTGAACCACGTGGAGTCCCGACCGTATCTCCTCAATGAGCTGAGAGGCCACATCACCAGCTTGACCTTGGCATTGTGGATATCCCAGAGATAAATATTCTCATGAGTGATCTGCATGGTACATTCGCCATAAATATCCAGATTGGGTGTAGGCATGAGGTACACGTTGAACCGTTCTGTAGGAAACAAAGAGTTGAGGGCATTGAGTGTGAATGAGTGTGACTCATGGGTGACTTGCAGCCCTCAAACCTCCTTCCATCACAACTTTTTGTGTGAGGAACTCAAAACCCAAACCACTGAGGACGAGCCAATGATGACACAGCCCTCGTGTCAGACCAGTGGAACTGCCCCAGAGGATTTCTGAGGCGGAGCATCCTTATGGAAGCACCCTGCACAGCCCTCTGCCGTGGAGTGGATGGTGCACTGGTACTCTTGCCCTTTTAGTTGGCAGACGAGCACTTGAAACACTGCACTACGGAAATTCCTTGAATGAGGAATGGGTTTACTGTTAAAATCTTCCCATTCCATTCCCATTCCAGTTTTTTTATTGCATGCATTCTCCATGGTAGGGAGAATTCACCTTTGAGACTTAAAGTAATCAAATAAACCCCAGAATAATTCCCTACTTACTGAACAAATAATTCAGATTATATCTCAACACAAATTTTATTCCAGGTGACATTCAGCATATGATAATTGCAGATGATCATGACTCCCTTCTGCAGAGTTAAAGACATTGTTTTGATATGCAAATTGAGACAGGCTTTTATCTTTCTGTCCTAGATATGTTTGGTTGAAAATCTGATTATGAGGCAATGATTCCAAATCTTGATTGGTAACTGTGGTAGTTACATAATCTGTTGTACACTTGAGACTTAAGAGTGAAGGGGTAGAAACCAGGGTGAAATGCTAAGGGCATGCAACAAAGCAGTAAGAGGAACAAAGCAATGAAGTCCCTGAGGTATACCAAAAATAGACTTTGGGGCCAGGGCATGACACCCCATCAGGCCTCTACTCAATTACTCCCTCAATGCAAGAACACTTTGTTCTAATAACTTGGCATTCTGTGATGCTCACCTTCCCAACACAATCACTGAAGTCAAAATGGGTGCATAAGTAAATATGGTGAAGAAAGCTGATGGTGCCTGGCTATCAAAAGAGATTCTGTCTGGGGTCTTAAAGCCTTGAAGATAATCAAGGGGCCATCTAGTTGAGAAGCAACAAAGTCCACATGGAAGAAGCAAACCAGCCTGAGGTGTTGATGGGATCAGGTACCAGGCATCAAAGGCACAGAACAAAAAGTCATATCAATGTGAATGAGGGGAAGTGCGGAGTGGAGACCCAAAGCCCATCTGTAGACAACTGGGCATGCCCTTATAGAAGGGTCACAAGAAAGAGATAAGCCAGTCAGGGTGCAGTATAGCACTGATGAAACATATAACTTTCCTCTGGTTCTTTTATGTTTCCTCCCCTACACTATCATGACCCCAATTCTACCTTACAAATCCCGCTTGACCAGAGCATGTACATGGGTACAGATAAGAGCTGGAAACACAGGGAATCCAAAACAGATAAACTCCTTAGTATCAATAATGAGAATAGCAAAACCAGGAGGGTAAAGGGAAGGTGGGACGAGAAAGGGGTAACCAATCACAATGATCTACATATAATCCTCTCCCAGGGGGATGGACAACTGGGTGAAGGGAAACATCAGTCAGTGTAAGACATAAAAAAAAAATTATCAAGCATTCATGAGGGAGGGAGGGCAGCAGGGGATGAGGAGTTGATGAGGGAGGTGTGGGGAGGGTATGAGGAGCTGATACTAATGGCTCAAGAAGAAAGAAAATGTTTTGAAAATGATGGTGGCAACAAATGTACAAATCTGCTTGACACAATGGATGGATGTATAGATGATAAGAGCTGTACGAGCCCACCAATAAAATGATTTTTAATACCCCCCCCCAAAAAACAAACAAAACAAGAGTGAAGGGGTTGAGTTTAGCTTGTCAATCAGGTTGCAGCTTGATGACCTCATTTGGAGGCTCTAAAGAGATAAATAGTTCACTGGAAGCGGGACACATAGATTCACTCTGCAAGACATTATTGACTAAGAACCTGATGGCGACACTGATGCAGCCAGAGCCCAGAACTGGAGCAGCCACGTGGAGAACCTGCCAGCACTGAGATGCTTCTACCACCACTGGATCCACATGACTTTGCACCTACTGGCCTGTGATCTTCCTGCATTAGGTGACTTTGCGTGTGCTTTGTGAGTCTGAAGTGGAATTTACAGATTGGTATTGGGCATATGGGCTCATATTGGACTTATGGACTTGATCTGAGCTGGGCTGGGGAATTTGCACAAGATTCCATTGCTCTTGTATATAAAACTCTTTCATACACATTTGTCTATGAATTCATTTCTCTAGTCTACCAAGACTAACACAGTAACTTATATTTCCACGGGTACTGCAAACTTCTGTAGTACCACTTCTTAAATAAAATGAATTAAATGTACTCTATTTTGAAAAGCAATGTTAGATGGTTCACTTCCAGGAAGTACTAAGAATGCTTTGTAAAACACCTTTGGCTTCTATACCAGGCTTGTTTCATAGTAAGGGATGCACACATATTGGTTGAGTGAAATAAATGTATATGCCATGATGAGTATGAGATTTGTGATTGGGGAAAGTCAAACAATTCGTCACGACAACAAAAGTTTAAGAAGTGCGGGAAGACACACTTTTATAAGTTAGTGACTTGTGAGCAGTGCTTCAATGGAGCTGCTATCGGGTTAAGTAAGGAATCCCTGGTGCTGTACTAAGGAGCTCGAATGGCCCTGTGGGATTCATGTCAAAGCCACCAACCACATCTTGGGAGAAAGTTGAGGCTGTCTGCTTCTGTAAACGTTTACAGTCTCAGAAACCCTATATAAGCACTCTGAGTCAGGATCAATTCAGTGGCAGTGGATTTTGACTTTGTGGTGCAGTGGTTAAAGGGCTTGGCTGCCAATCAAAGGGTCAAGGGCTCAAGCCTACCAGTCACTTCAAAGGATAAAGATGTGGTAGTTGGTTTCCACAGAGATTTTACAACTTTCGAAACCCCATGGGGGCAGGGGTGGGGGAGTTCAACTATGTCGTATAGGGTTAGTATGAGTCAGAATTAACTTGTTATGATCTGTCTCACACCATGGTCTTGACATTGAATGTTTGTTGGTCTGTGGAATAGAAGGACTGGTGTGTGGTGTGTGGTAGGTGCTTTTGTGGGGATTCACTGACCTCAGTGAACAAGATGCAGATTCCAAGTAGACTTAATTTACAGAAGCACACTAATTATAGCAAGCACACCAACTGAAAGTTTGGTAACTGCACGATTACGATTTGTATTCAAGGGCCCAGGTATCTTTGTACAAAAGATAATCTAATGATTAATTGTTCTGCTTTGATGATTGCCCCCAGGAGAACAACATGTATGTGGATTTAACGTTCAGTCCCTATAGAAATGGCCATTGAGAACAATTTTCTAGTTGAGAAATTAAGAACACAGTCCTATTGTATCTACAGTTTTAAAATTCAAGAGCAGTAAATGCGTTCTATAAAGCCTGCAATTCTTCTGGGCCACCAAGGAAAGATCCAAACCAAATACATGACCATTGATCAAGTCAAGGCTGAGTCACAGCAGCCCCCAGTGGGTTTGCAAGACTGTAACTGTTTACAAGAGTAGAAAAAGCCCAGTCTTTCTCCCAAGGAGTTGCTGGTGGTTTTGAACTTCCCACCATGCGGATTGCAGTTCCACGTGTAACCACCACACTACCAGGGCTCCTAGCCAAAATATATTCCTCTCCTTCCTGCTACAATCCCCACTCGGGCTGGTTGACAAGTAGCAATCACACCAAGGGGACATGATTTTACATAAAAGGAGAAATGAAGCTTGGACCCCATGGTGACTCCCTCGGTCAAGCCTGCGCAAGCAAACCCTCTTTCCTTTGGCCAAGAGCCTTTTGATCAAGTTCAGCTTCTAGTCATATGTCAGTGGCTTCCCTCATGCATAGGGAGAATGCGGTCGCTATCAAAGTAGAAAGTTAAAAGATTCCAGCTAGAGAGGTGCTGCTGTAAGGTCAAGAAATACAACTTTAAATTATGAGTAAAGAGAAATAGCATTAAGCCATTTTATTGTTGCTTGAAACTATTGGTTCTTGACTTCTGCACGCACGTGTGGTATTTTAGAGAAAAAAGAGAAAACAACATGTAAAAGAATAATCCTGATATTGAGGGGCCTTCGAAAGTTCATGATAAACATGGAACGAAATGATTTTGGCATCTCTCCGCAAACTTTGTGAAGACCCCTTGTCCTTCAGGCTGATGGGACATAAAGGATGACATGTCATCAAAGGTGTGCAGAAGGGGACCCAGAAGACTCACTGTGGAAGCCCAAGCATTCCGATGTTAGCAGAGAAAACCCAGTGATCCACAGACGGCCTGAGTACAAATCACCACGAGACACATTAGAGAAAGGGGGAAGAGAGCGCCTGAGTGGATGTGAGACTCAGATGACTTAGGGCTCTGGATACAAAACTATCTGTCAGGCACATGTACAAACAAAGCACTCTTCAGGAGCTGCCCCAGGGCATCTTCCCAGGATCCCCTTCTAGGCAATCAAAAGCAGATGAAAAGCCAGAAATGGTTCTCCTTCTCCCTGGCCCCCACTCTCCCCATCTTCACACTTCCCAGAACCTACCAACAACTTCTTGTTCTGGATG